GTGGAATACGGCTCTAACTAACTAAAGAAATATTTTTGAAACTAATAAAAAAAACTAGCTTCTTAAGTATGCTCAAAATTATTCTTAAATGATCTAAACAGACTAACTAAAGTATGCTCAAAATTATTCTTAAATGATCTAAACATGTATTTTATTAGGATTAAAAATGATAACTATCAAAATATACTACGAAATTAAAAATGAATAATTTTTTAATCATATGTTTTAATTTTATTAAAATATTTGGAGCATTAAATAAACCAAAAGGCATGGTTAGCTACTCATAAAGGCCATCTGAGATTTTGAATGATGTCTTTCATTTATTTCTTCTTCTTATTTTTCAATGATTGTATCTACTTTTTAAATATAAATTAGAGAATAAATTTAAGCCAAAATAATATCAAGCATATCATTCAATTTGGATATTAAAAACATATACTTAATAGTGATCTTATTTAATGTTGAACTTTTATGCATACTCTTTAGGTAAGATGTCTTTTTAAGGTTAATAATACTAGAACATTATAATATTGTAGTGTTTTTCTTGAGAAAGAATTTCCTAATAGTCTATCTACTAATCTCTTATCTCATTATGTTTTATAAAGTTTACTCGTTAAAATGTCAAGTTTAGCAACAACAAATCTATCATGATTCGTCTAGCAAGTTGAATTTCTCTCATGGGTAGAAATTCATACAATATATAATTAGTTAAAGATAAATAAATTTGGATAATATAATTTAGCCCATAACAGAAATGTAGTACTTAATTGATTACGTGGAGTATAAGAAGAGAAGTTAGATAAAAAAAATCTTTCATCATGGCAGAAAATCAATCCTATTATATGTACTATAAGATTTAATGATGATAGAAAATGCAAAAGACTCTCAAATTTTAATATTAGAAATAACCTGTATAATAGTATAAGTTGATAATATTACAAGTTAAAGCATTGTAGTCTTCTTTCAATATAGTTTAGGCTGAATCTTAGTGATATATTTATTTGGAACAAAAAATATTTATCTATGAATCGGCTTTGCTAAAAAAATTATAGTTTTTTTTATCTTATTTGAACATATATTTCTTCTCTTGTGCTTAATATATTAAAATATGCTTTATAACTAGCATCTACCTAATAAAATTTTTGTTATGTCAATGTGCAAGACATCGCACCAAATATAGTCCTCATAACTATGTATTTTAATCGAGTTTAGGCAATTAGAGTGGTGTGGTTTACTAATTCACGTAGTATGATTAGGATGGGGTTTTGTCTTTACTTTTTGTTCCTAAAAATGTTGGCACATTTCACATTCATAGCCATTCCCACTTTTTTAACTAGTGTGAATTTTTCTCCTAACATACAATATACAAGGTAAAGAAAATTTTTGTATGTAATTTCATGCATAAGGATGTTATAAATCTTCAGCAAAATAATGGTGTATAATCATATATCTTCTCAATATCATTCTTCACTTCATCTTCTAACTCATCTATGAATATGATTCTAGTTTGCATTACTCTTTTTGGTGACACTTAATGAAAATAAAATTATTCATGTTTTTAGAAGTGAGTATACTTGAAGTCTTGTTTTTCTTAGTAGTAAATGACGAATGTCAAAGTATAATAATAAATTTTTTAAATTTGGAATGTGAATGTTCGATATGTAGATGTTTGTCCTTTAAATTAATAGGTTTTAATATCTTATGTTCTTAAAAATTAAAACTTACTCTAAGCATTCTTTAAGCATTTGAGAACCCTAAAGCTCCACTTTATTCTTATTTTCATTCCTTAAACTAATCACAAACTTCTTAGCTAATTGCTAATCCCAGTAAGAGAAATTGGACCTGGTCATAGATTTCTCAAATGCATTTATATAAATCATTTGCATTTTTTCTTTCCTTAATGTCATCAACTTTTCATGTAGTTTCTTTTTATTCTTTTAGGATAGTATTTAAACTTAAGTATGTCTTAAATTTTTACTCGGGAAAAAAATATTCTTCTGGTCTATCTATTGTTACTAAAATGTTATTCCAATAAATTTTGTATGACTAATTTATTTAATTCTTATAAGGTGTTTTCTTACATTCATTCATTTGTACCAATTAAAGAACTCATATATTTGGGTGAGTTCATTTTTAGACTTTTTAAGATCGTGAACTTAGTTATGGATTGGCATTCCACCTTAATATTTTAAGGGTTCCTTAAAATGATTGTGATTAATTTTATTCCATTTCCTTTACATTTTTTTAAAAATGATTTCCCCTAATTGTATTATCATTCCCATGTTTCTTAAGAAGTTTTATTTTAAGTCATCATTCATAACAAGATTTTTGGCATGTGAAGAGTTTTGTATTCTTAGTATAGAGTATAGAGGCTTACTTCTGGGTAGTTTAGCCCATAGTCATAACTTCTAATGATTCTCTAAATTATATAAATCAACATCTTCTATCTCCTTAATAAATTTTTTATTTAATGTACAACAAACGGGCGAGGATTTGGTACATCTCAAACGCACCTTTCATACATAACTAACTTGTTTAGGTTTTCTAGACCTACATTTTACTATTGAGAGTTGAGATATTTTATATAATGTGAACATTCCAGCAAAGAAGTTTGGTTTTAGTTCAAAATGATCAATATGTAGAATTAGAAGTGATTATGAAGTGAAAAGGAAGCTTAAAAGATTTATTTAACTTTATTTAAAATATATATGGTATGTTCGCTATGATAATTTAACCATAAAATGATTTTAAATATATTAAATTCTTCACTTTAATGTTGGAAATAAGTTAGAACATATAATACTAGTGGCCCTAATAAAAAAATTATAATAAAACCCAATTTTCATGAAAGTGAGTGGAACCTATGTTAAAATTTATTTTGAATGTGGATTACTTCCTTATTTCTTGGAACCAATTATGGAACTTTAGGTTAGAATAATTTATTGGGTGATTGACTAGGACAATAATTGTAGATGTAAGTTGCTAATAGTTCATACAATAAATCATAAATTTGCCAAAAATACAAAATAAAATAAGAGGTCATTGGAAAATTTAACTAATTGATAAATGAGCAGATTCTCTTTATGCATTTCATTTTCATCGAATGTAAGCTATTGGATAATCATCCAGTCTCCTTAGTGATGAAAGACTTCAATACTCATTCCTTTCATGCTCTGCTACCAAAATGATGTGGCCTGTGATTAAATTATTGAATGGTAAACTCATTAGGCTTATAAGGATTTTAAATAATATAAAAATTGTATATGAGCTATAAAAGAGGTTTAAAAGAAGTGATGTTAAGTGTTCATGCCAATAAGTTGGCCAAGTATGGGGGAAAAAGCCAAAATTTGATATAACATTTATAAAGATTAAAAATTTGCAATGAAAAAAAAAAGATTAAAAGCCATTAAAATACTTAACATAAATAGGGTAATGTTCCTATTTAAGTCATTGGATATTTAACAATTTTTTAGTGGTTTAATTAGGCAAAATTGAAATTAGAATAAAATAAGATCTTTTTCAATCTTATGTAGATTAAGAGTCGTCAATGGAAGTTTGAACTATATTTAGAATTTAATGGGACGAGGAATGGGTGTTACAATATTTTGGGAGTAAGGTTTATAGATATTTTGTAAACTTAACACTCACAAACGCGACAGGACGTGAAGTGATATCAAACCCATTAATGGTGAGGCCGGGCAATGAACCCCCTCTTACTTATAAATAAATAAATAAATAAAATTTCAACAAATAACAATCAAACCTCTCCTCATTCAAACAATGAGCACCAAAATATATGTAAATCAATTTATAAATTATTTAGGAGGGAGAAGGAATTAAGGTTGCTAGCCAAAAGGATTAATTATGAAGTAGGTCATTACTCCAAGTGTAACTATCCATCCCATTGAGTGGTGAACAACCAAAGAACCTTTGAAATTGATTATTTAATTAATGGCTTGTTAAATAATTAACTTTTAAACGAAATTGAATAATTTTCCTTTCATTTTTAAAAATTAAACTTCTATAATTCAAAAATTGAATTTTTAAAATTTTAATTCTAAGTTTGAAGTTCAAATTTTAAAAATTAGCAAATATTCATATATTAAGATTTATAATAACTTTATCTTTAAAAATATACATAACATGCCTAAAAATAGACATCTAATTGAAAATTTTTTATTTTGATCATTTTAATGGGTCACAAGCAAATTTTTTCTTCCTATAGCCTATTTGGTTGGTCCAAACCTTTTTTGTTGTGCTCCTAATGCCAAGTTAGTACGTGTATCCATCATGTCCCAACACTAAATTCTAATTGATAGATTTAGGTTAGAGAACTTAGTCCTATGAGAAAACTAAACAATTAAAAGAATAGAGTCAACTTGCACATTTTATTATATTGGCATGTAAATAAATATTTAAATAAAGACTCATTACTTTGTAGCAAAATCTATAGCAAATATTACTCTATTTATTTATCTAAATCTCATCATAAAATTAAAGTTATTAATTAACTTCCTAAGTGAATTTATCAACATAAATTATAAAATTTTTCTATTTATATTTAATTCCTCACACTAGATTGAAGACTAAAAATATATTTTAAAAATTATAAAGTCTTATTTCTTTATTATAAATATAATGAGATCAAATATAGTCTTAAATTATAGATATCATTTTTATAAATCATGAAATAATTTTGGTATGTTCATTAACTTATTTTAGAATTATTGAAAACAATTATCTCTATTTTATGTTAAAAATATTATATATATATATATTGAGGATAAAATATGGATTAACTAGGATCTATGACATGATTTATATATATATATATATATATATATATATATATATATATTACTCAATTAAAATAAATCATTAAATTATATCAAAACATTTATTCGAGTAAATCGCGCATATTATCATTCAAAATGCATCTTGATTACTTTACATACAACAACAACAACAACAACAAAGCCTTAATCCCACTACGTGGGGTCGGCTACATGAATCCTTTTTCTCCATTGCGTCCTATTTAGTGTCATATTTTCATTTAGTTCTAGTAATCTTGATTACTTTACATGATATGTTAAAATTCTACATATGAATGAGAAACAATGCTTAGCTCTGGATATAGGGATGTGGTAGCCAGAATGGCCAAGGAAATTGTGAATGGCTAAGAATGGCTATACAAGCTTTCCAAAAGATCAAAACAGACAAAAATGGAAAATAAAAAAGCTTTTATGAAACTCCTGTTCTGCCTAATTCAATATGCTCAGTAGAAGAACTAGGATTTTTGGCTACCTGCTCATGCATGGTCTCTGAGATCAAAACAGACAAAAATGGAAAATAAAGTAGCTTTTATGAAACTCCTGTTCTGCCTAATTCAACAAGCTCAGTAGAAAAGCTAGGATTTTTGGCTACCTGCTCATGCATGGTCTCTTGTGAATGGCTAAGGACATTCGAGGGGATGTTGATGCCGACAAATCCCACCATGATAGAAGCAGCTCCGATGTACTCCATAAGACGAGGGGCATGGCCGGTCAAAGAATCTACAATAGCAGCTAAGGGGACCTGAACTGAAAGACCGGCGGTGGCCGCGGTGGTTGAAGTTAACTGAGTGGCCCTTACCTGTAAGTAATCGCTGAGAACATTATCAAGCAGACCTGTAAGGAGAAGAGATGACATGTTAGCACACAGTTTTAGAGGAGATGGTAGAGAAATGAGCTTTATTTTCTGCGGCAAGGCTGGGAAATACGAAGCTCATCCTCATGTAAAAAGCAGGATAATTAAGTTTAACTACTTGCAATAAACTATGAATGTTATTTAATGTTTTCTCCTGCCTTGAACGGTATAGATATCAGTAATCATTCTCAAAATTTGGTTTTTACATATGAAAGGAAGAGATTATTCAGCCCATGTTTGACAGGATTGGGCTCAAAATGTCTCTCGAGAAGATTTAGCAGGTTCCCTATAGGCTATTTGTTAAATTACATAATAAATACGCCTTTGAATTTACTAAACTGTACTCGGCGATTTAATTCGGCCTGCACAGCTCTCAGAAGCGTTAAAGTCACTGGTAACGAGTTCTGCTACGTTAACGATTACCTGAACTCACTTATACATTCAACACAAAGTCAGTCATTTGAGTCGCTAAAGCTAGACAAAGTTTTTATGGAATTCACAAGAGACTGCAAATAAGCATAACCTCCTTAGAGATCCATATAATGTTCTACAAGCTAGCAAAACTAATTCATTTTTACATGTAATAATGATTTAGAGCCTTTTCTATAGCACTTGACTTCGACTTGAACCTATAAATTCTTTGTTTTTTTTTCTTTCTTGTCACTAATAAAATTTTTAAGAGAATATACTTTTTTTAAAAGGTAACACTGCCATTGTCGGGTCTCAAGCCCTGAATGTGAAAAGTGGAGGGTAGCATTAGTGGGTTGCATAAGACACGCGATAACAACGTAAAATAAGTCAAAAAATCATGACATAAATTCTTCAATTCCTTGAGTAAATACTAGGGCATCCCCTAAAAGCGATGCGTTGTATGACTTGAATATAATGAGAAGTCTGCAAAAGACTGTTGCACCGTCACCTTGTCAAAAAATCATGACATAAATTCTTCAATTCCTTAAGAAAATACTAGGGCATCCCCTAAAAGCAATGCGTTGTATGACTTGAATACAATGAGAAGTCTGCAAAAGACTGTTGCACCGTCACCTGGTTGTAGTGTCAAATAAGCCAGGGTCCCCACATTACGAACGAATGTGTGTGAAGAATTTAGTCTATGAAACTAATATTAGGGTAGGAACTTGGAATATAGATACTTTCACGGATAAATTAATGGAATTAGTTGATATTATGGTTCATAAGAAGATAAATATCTTATGTATTCCAGAAACTAAATGAGTTGGAGAAAAGACTAAGGAGATTGATAGCTTAGATTTTAAAATTTGATATTCAGATAGGAGTTGCACTAGAAATAGTGTAGGTGTAATTATAGATAAAAGTTTGACAGATAATGCTGCAAAAATTAATAGAATTTGAGATATAATTAAAGCCCTTATTGTCCTTGATACAAAGATTTTTAATTTTATAAGTGCTTATGCTTTTCAAGTAGTTTTAAATATAGTTTATAAAGAAAAATTTTGGAAAAACATAGAAGAATTAATAAATGATATCTCTTGAAGAAAAAATTTTTATTAGAAGAGATTTAAATAAATATGTTGGTAGAGTGGTAGGAAAATTTTAAAAATATTCATGGTGGCTACAATTTTGGAGTAATTAATGAAGAAGGTAGAGTCATATTAGGTTATGCTTTAACGTATGATTTTGTTATTTCTAATACTTTATTTAAGAAAAAAGATGAGCATACTATACTTATAAAAATTGATCTAATAAAACACATATTAATCATTTTCCTATGAGAAAAAGATATCGTTAAAAATGTAAAGATTGCAAGGTCATTTCAATTAAGAATTTAAGTACTCAACAACGTTATTAGTTATGAATTTTAAGATGAAGTGTTGTAAATTAAAAAAAATACTAGGAATCCTCATCATAGAATTAGATGTGGGCACCTAAAAGACAAAAATAAAATTATTTTTACGAGTAAACTTTAAGATTTAGGCTGTTCATGAAAAAAAAAATTATATGAATGAAATTAATTGGTGATGGAATAATAATGTGCAAAAAAATATAAAATATAAAAAACTTGTGTTATAAAAATTAGTTTAAATATAAAAGCTTAGAGATATGGAAAAAATATAAAATGACTCATAGGGAGTCTAAGAAAACAATTTATGACGTTAAAAATTCTACTTTTAGTAATCTTTATAATAGATTAAATAATAAAAAAGTTGAAAAATATATGTATAAACCAGCTAAGCAAAGAGAAAGAACAGTAATTACTTCACTCAAGTAAAAGTTATTAAAGATGAAAATCAATAGGTAGTTTTCTTAGAAAAAGATATTCAACATACGTGGGAGATCTATTTTGATAAAATTTTCAATAAAGTTCTAAAAATACAATCAATCTTAGTAATCTTAATATCGTTAATAAAAATAAAGTATTTTATTTTTACTGCCACATTAGTAAAAAAGAAGTTGAGGAGGTTTTAAACAAAACTAATGGTGAAAAATTAGTAAGATCTGATGATATTGTAATTGAAGCGTGGAAATATCTAAGAGATTTAGGAGTTTTTTGACTTACGAAACTCTTTAATGTTATTTTAAAAACTAAAAAAATGCCTGAGTAGTGGAGGAAGAGTCTTTTGGTCCACATTTTTAAGAATAAAGGGGATGCATAGGAGTGCGCAAATTATAGAGGAATTAAGTTGATGTGTCATACTTTAAAATTAAGAGAGAGGGTAATTGAATATAAGTTAAGATGTGCTACAAAGATTTCTCATAATTAGTTTGAATTTATGTCGGGTAAGTCTACAATGGAAGCTATACATTTATTGAGAGGTTTAATGGAGAAGTACAAAGAGAATAAGGAGGATCTACATATAATTTTTATTGATTTAGGAAAAGCTTGCAATAAGATTCCAAGAGAAGTCATTTGGAGATGCTAGAGCTGTTTCTTGTGTTCGAACAGAAGGAGGATTGACCAAGTATTTTCCTATTTCAGTTTGGATTACATCTGGGATCAACTTTAAGCCCATATCTTTTACTTTAGTTATAGATGCTCTTACTAGATATTTATAGGAGGATGTACCTTGGTGTATGCTTTTCACTAATGATGTCCTTCTTGTGGATAAGACTAAAGAGATAGAACTAAGACTGAATACATGGAACGTAATATTGTTAGTGAAAAGCATACACCAAGGTACTAAGGCCTTCGTTTGAGTAGAACTAAAACGAAAGAGATGGAACTAAGACCGATAGCTTGGGTCTATTGTTCAAAGTGATGGTGATATAAATGGGGAAGTTATTAGTAGAATTCAAGTTGGTTAGTTGAAGTTTAGGAATGCATTGGGCCTATTGTGTGATAGAAGAGTGTCACTTACACTAAAAGGAAAATTTTATAACATGGTGGTGAGACCTACAATGCTTTATGGCGCAAAATGTTTGCCTTTAAAAGAGAAACATAAAACAAAGTTAAGTGTTGTTGAGATGAGAATGCTTGGGTGGATGAATGGCTTGGCACTTAAGAGACAAAATGCAAAATGAATATATCCGTGATAGGGTTGGGGTAGCTCCAGTGGCGGACATGATTATAGAGAATCGTCTTAGATAGTTTGGTCACAGTAATTGTCAACCATTTGATGATCCGATTAAGAGAGTAGATGTTTTAGACTCGAAGGTTAAGAACGATAGAGGTAGACTTGAAAAGACTTAGGCATATTGTACAAAAAATGATCTTGATTTATTAGAATTAAACAAAAATATGACACTCAATAAGATGCAATGGAGAAAAAGGATTCATGTAGCCGACCCCACTTAGTGAGAAAGACTTGTTGTTATTGTTGTTGTTGTTGTATCCTTTATTTTAAAGGCATTGATATCCTTTCCTTCTTACAAATTTGATATAAATCACCACTCAAGTCGAATTTTTTGTTGATTGTGGTCCTTGACCAAAAAAAAGTTTATCAAGTCGGCATTAGTCAACTCAACATCGACATGCGCAATCACCCATTGTTAATCTAGTCAAGTTAATGGAGGTAGTCAAAAAAAACAATAGGCTTTAGATTGAAAGCCGTCGAGTAAAACTTATCTTTGAGAAAAAGACGACCAACATTGGTGTCACTATCAACCATCACTGTAACCTTGCTTCCCCATCAAAAGTTTAACTTACCCCTTTCATCCTTAGAACTTAGCTTGGAATCTTTAAGAGGATGAATGTAACAATTCATCTTTGTCTTCCTCTTGTACTAATATGTTTGACCTTACAACTAACTTTTCCTCATCGACTACCAAAATAGTTAGTGGCTCTACCTTCGGTAAAATGTCAGCAACTTATCTTGGGACCTCATCTTGAGAACTAAAGTTGAACTTTTTTTCTTTTCTGGTTCTTTATCACCATCATCGAGAATAACTCACCTTTTCTTTTAAGGGGCAACTTGCTACACATTTACTTGTGAATTTGGCTCGAAAAGCCTTATAAGTCAGCCCCGCTTCTTAATCCCAACCGATTATGTTCAAGAAACTGAAAGAATACAACAACAACAACAACAACAACAACAACTTAATTCCCCTACGTGGGTCGGCTACATGAATCCTTTTTCTCCATTGCGTCATATTTAGTGTCATATTTTCATTTAGTTCTAGTAAGTTAAGATCATTTTTAATACAATAAGCCCAAGTCTTCCTAGGTCTACCTCTGCCTTTCTTAACACAAGTCAAATCTAAAACATCTACTCTCCTAATCGAATCATCTGATGGTCGACGTTTAATGTGACCAAACCATCTAAGACGACTTTCTCTAATTTTGTCCGTCACAGGAGCTACACCAACCCTATCACGAATATATTCATTTCACACCCACCCTATCAAGAAATTGAAAGAATATTATACTTATATTCGTTTAGTTCATCTACACCAACCCTATCAAGAAATTGAAAGAATATTATACTTAAATGCAAAAAATATTAAACTTTAAAACAAAATTATATTCAAATAAGAAATTACGAACATTTAAAGAAAAAATTACTAGACAACTTGTTCAATGAAGATTAGCCAAGAAGAATATTTGCCTAATAGATTTATTTGAATTTTGACGTATAAACTGTATGAACAAGTTGCCCATCTATAATGTCCATAACAATAGTTTCATCTTCATCAATTTACCTTGACTATGATAACTCATTTCTCTAAATAATAGTTGGCCCTAGTTCAAATCAATCACTCACCATCCAACTTCATAAAGATATGCTTCTTTTCTTTTTTCTTTCACTTAGTTCTCTAAACCCATCATCATGATGCATTCCAAGGAAAAAAGAGAACAATGCCTTGGTTGAAAGCTTATATTACAATTTGTAAACCCTCCTTTCACTCCCAACCAGTAGTTGGTTCACAGGATTAATAACAACCCTAAAGATTGATCCACAATGAATATAATAGCGTAGAGAAGACTTAGCACCACTAGCAAATTGGCTCACTTGTAAGAGATGAAGAACTTCCTCTATAAAACCATCTCGTACTTCTAGTCGTCAATTTCTCAATGAATATTTCAGGTAAATTTGTCCAACAAAGAATCAGGGTGATTAGATGAAATGCCAAACTCTAAGTCACCCAATTTGTAAACCCTCCTTTCACTCCCAACCAGTAGTTGGTTCACAGAATTAATAACAACCCTAAAGATTGATCCACAATGAATATAATAGCGTAGAGAAAACTTAGCACCACTAGCAAATTGGCTCACTTGTAAGAGATGAAGAACTTCCTCTATAAAACCATCTCGTACTTCTAGTCATCAATTTCTCAATGAATATTTCAGGTAAATTTGTCCAACAAAGAATCAGGGTGATTAGATGAAATGCCAAACTCTAAGTCACCCAAACAGACCACCTCGACTTCTTCAAATAAGTGAAGTTTAACAACAATCTTTTGGCATTGTTTTTCTTTACGAGTTTATAACTATATTGAAAAGTAAGAATCATCTTATTCTAAAAATCAAAATCCTTGAGCAAACTCTCAAACCTACTTGCTAAAACTATTGTGACTAACTCGACACTTGACGACTTCAAGCTTAGTACCTCGGAAAATACTCTTATCTTATTTTGAAATTGAACCTCCATATTAAATTCTTTATGGCAAACTTATTGCTAGCTTGTATCTTTACTCACAGAAGTAGAATCCTCAGAAGCTTCCACATTACTTAAACCAATAGTGACTCTGACTATGCAAAGCGAAAAAAAACACTCATGGGCAATAATGCTACTAAGATAAACATACCTAGTAAGATTTAGGCATCTTTCTATCAACAAAATACCACATATGAACAAAGATAAAGCATGTTAAATTTATCAAGTCCAAAATATAGAACTAAGTCACAGAGAGGATGAAAAGAAGTCCTGCTCGTTGAATGTCGCGAGTCCTTCGACTTGGTCGCGATCCTCCCTGCGAAATTGCCGCAAAACTCGTCTATTCACACCGAACTTTCGAGGATCATCTTCCTGCGAACTTCGAATTGCGACGAATCGGACGCCCTATCCGCCGAACTCCTCGACCAAAATCTTATTTGTTCCTGCGCTGGAAAAATTTTTCTTCCATACCTAGAACCTCGTTCTGATACCACTTGTTGAGAAATAAGGGCGAAGAAAAACAAGAATCGACACAAATCCAGAAAAAACATAGAGATTTAACGAGGTTCGACAAAGATGCCTACATCCTTGGGAGCAGGGCGGCGACTTCTTTTTCAATATTCAGAAAAGAAGTTACATAATAGAGGATATTCAGCTCTCATCAAGACATAGGATTACAAACAAGTCTATTTATAATCATAGAGTAAACCCTACAGTATAATATGTAATTCCCAAATTACCCCTGTACCGTATAGCGGGGCGTTGACCCAGCACCCCCAACCCACATAACGTAACTTCCCGATTTGAATAGATTCTTCCGCTTCGCTCCGCTCTGCTCAAAGTAAGTCTAAACTAAAGCATGCTCGATAAAATGGAAAGAAAGGTCTAACAAATAAAATAGGAATCGGCATGGGAATATATATATATATATAAATATATGTGTGTGTGTGTGTGTGTGAAAAGTGTGTTCCTTCCATCGATTCATCAATTACTGAAAGCAACTTAGTTTAGCCAAACTATCCAAAATGCAAGTAATAAAAACTAAATGGATCACAAATCAACGAAAACAAGCTATTCACACGGAAGACAAAGTACCAAACAAATGGTTAATTTTTCTAGTCAATATAAATAAAGATTTAGATAATGTAGTCCATGCTTTCAAAAGAAAATTAACAGATTTGACTAAAAACAAAAAATCTACATGTAGAGATGACTACTAACCTTTGCCAACAATAAGACAAAGTTGCTTCCATGTAAGCACGTGAAAGGGCTCTAGCTTGGTAAAATCCAACACAGTTACAACTGGAAGAAAGATTAGAAAATTAAAAAGCCCCAAATAACCCAGAAACTGAGCTGTGCTTGCTTGAACCTTTCCATCACCCTCATCAGGAAGTTTTGCTCGAATCATGGAGATGTAAACAGCATATAAGGTTGCTGAAATAAGGGCAAGAATGTCTCCCAAGACAGGATTTGTAGCAACTGAATTTGCATTGGTACTTGAATCAGCTATACTTACTACTATTGTTCCTCCCATACAGAGGAGAACACTAACTAGCTTAACCCATGTAAACTTTTCTCCTAAGAATGCTAAGGAGACGAAGAAAGTGAATAGGCTAGAGGCACTGCTTAGGATTGTATTAGACTGCAGATAGGAATAAAGATCATAGAGATGTCACTACCAATAAATTAAAGAAATACATTGCTTTGAAGGAAAAGAGTCTTTTTTCAATGATACTTACTGTCACAGTGGTATATTTGAGAGATAAATTAAAGGTTAGCTGACCGAAAAACCAGAAGGGGCAAATTAAAAGGCTGATTTTAGCTACACGACATCTCGACCACTGGCCTTTCCCATCAACTAGATGACTTGAATCTTTGTTAAAAAGAGTCAAACCTAGCTGACCAGAAAACTCATTCTCAACAGCAAAACTTTCTCCATCTTTTTCATTGGAAGGATTTCCAGATGAATTATTATTGTCACTTTGACTAGGTACATCAATTGGACCAGAATTGTTGTTGATGTCATGGAGCAGGTTTAGATTCTCCAAACTACTAGCACCACGAAAATCAGAATCTTGCACATCCATTATTCGATAACTGGACATTTCAGCCGAATCCTCAAATAATCGGGCGATTTCAACAATAGGAATATAAAGCAAAAAAAGTGAATTGCATATGTAGGTAACTAGGAAGGGAGAAACTCCAGCATCCACAACTGATTGAACAATATAGCTAGCAGAAATCCAAATCATTGCCACAGCAAGAATGTATGACAGGCCTAAAAGCCAGCGCCATGTGTCTCTGCTCATTGAACGACGAAAAACCATTCCAGAGCACTGTAGTCGATGTTCCCTTACTGTCAAGCCAAAAGATTTAAAACCAACTCAAATTTTGTTAGATAAAATCATCAGACAAAATTTTGCTAAAAATAGCAGAGAAATCTAGATTCAGGCGAAACAAGCATCGTTTGAAAAGAGAAAGATTGGGCAAAACCTATACGAAAAGAAGGAAAGGTTCCGATATTCTATGAAGTTCGATGTGAAGAGATCAATAATCTCTTGTCGGGAATTGGGATGAAGAGGCAGAGGAAACGGGCATTGAAGATTCACAGTAGCCCCGGATCGAGGACGTAGAGAAAAAAGAAGAAAATGGAGTCAGATTCGAGCGTCGGACTTCGCCGCCGTGCGGACCGAACTAGTTCGAATCTGACTTCTTATTCCTTTTCTCAATTAGGGCTTTGAATTTAGTTCGAAGATGGTTAATTGCTCATAAATTTTTTTTATTTTTAAAAATTATATAAATAATATTAAGTAAAATTTAATGTAACAAGTCACGAGTTTTAAGTAAATTTTGGGTTGATTTCAAGCTGGGACGGATTCAAATAACTCAATTTGAGCTAGTTAGTATCAATTTTGATCTGAATCTAGTAAATTCTGAGCTGAAGTAGAACCAAATAGCTCAATTTGAGCCAGCTCGTTTTGATTTAGAGCTGAATTGAGATCAATTCAATATCGAGCCCGCTCGGCTCGAAATTGAATATAATGAGTCAAGAGCTGATTTTGAGCCGTATTAAATCAATTCGAGCTGATTTCAGATCGACCCCAACTCGTTTCGAAATCGGATGATTAACATCCCTACTCAATTTGATCCTTCGATTAATGTGGTTATTGTATTGGAATTATTTATGGGGGTGAAACCAATATTTTATTATTAAAATAAATCATTTTTTTTTCGAGTCAATTTTAAACAATATATAAATTGGCTTGAATTTACTCTAGATCGACTCATACTTTTTATTATTTTAAAAAATTATACCAAGTAAAATTGAATATATAAGATAATTTTGAGCCATTTTTGGGCTGGAACGGATCCAAAAAAGTTCAATTTGAGCTAATTAGTTTCAATTTTGAGCCGGATTGAGCCGATTCTGAGCTGAAACAGATACAAATAACTCAATTGGAGCTAGCTCGTTTCAATTTCGATTCGAATCAAGCATGACTCAATTTCAGCTCGGCTCGAAATCGTATATAATGAGCCACCAGTCGATTTCGACACGACAGCCTGAATTTGATGTCTTCTCGTGCTTCAGTTAATGAGATTATTGTATTGGTCAAATCCGAGTGAGAGAAAATTTAGAGCCAGTAATAGATAGAAGCTTTAACAATCCAAATGTAATGCATTCATCATTTGAATTTTTATTTATACATTTAGATTGAAAGCTAATGCTATAATTTACAAACATTTCACACAATTCTTATATATTTTACATATCCAATACTCGAACTTTTAATATATACATTAGAAAACATTGCTATTACATGTTATTTTGACCCCCAATTAATGAATTAAAGTAAATATTAGAAAACATTGCTATTACATATACATGAAAAGATGTATTTCACTTTTAAAAGATTAGTAAGATTAATATTTTCAGTATGATGTCAAAGATTTAAAAATTATGTACGTAAATATAGAAGTTCACGTGTTAGATATATAAAGATAGAAAAATTATAGGATATGTATGTAAATGCCCCTAAGATTTAATAATGTTTAATATAAAAAATTTAAGTACATCATGAAAATTATTTATAAAATCCTGAATAACTCTTTGCCAGTCTTATGCTAAGAGTGAGCGTTCTAAGTGAGTTTTCTTGAGCAAGCTCATTGTTGAGTTTTAAAGGTGAGAGTCTAAGAAAAGATTAGTGGCAACTTCGTTCTGAGTGCATATGCCGTCTAGTGATTTCATTCTGAATTTTGTGAGTAATCTTTAATGACTTGATGGTTTGATTATTTCATATGTTGAGTACGTAGTACATATCTCACAACATTACATATACATGAAAAGATGTATTTCACTTTTAAAAGATTAGTAAGATTAATATTTTCAGTATGATGTCAAAGATTTAAAAGTTATGTACGTAAATATAGAAGTTCACGTGTTAGATATATAAAGATAGAAAAATTATAGGATATGTATGTAAATGCCCCTAAGATTTAATAATGTTTAATATAAAAAATTTAAGTACATCATGAAAATTATTTATAAAATCCTGAATAACTCTTTGCCAGTCTTATGCTAAGAGTGAGCGTTCTAAGTGAGTTTTCTTGAGCAAGCTCATTGTTGAGTTTTAAAGGTGAGAGTCTAAGAAAAGATTAGTGGCAACTTCGTTCTGAGTGCATATGCCGTCTAGTGATTTCATTCTGAATTTTGTGAGTAATCTTTAATGACTTGATGGTTTGATTATTTCATATGTTGAGTACCTTTGCAAATATGCCCTTTTCTAGTTAAACTGCTTAAATGCTAGAATATTTGTTATGTACATTCAACTATCTAAGTTGCACTTGCCAGCCGAAATGAATATGAACTCTTCAGGCATCATGAAGTTGTCGGCCGAGTTCGGGGTAATTATACAATATGTTCAGGATGAGCTCAATAGACACATGATGAACTAAAGAATCAATCAAGTTCAAACATAGTTGCTTGGCAATTTCTTAATAAGACAAACACAAACCCAAAATCTCCATTAGCCTACTTGACTCAAGCATATTATATTGAGAAACAAATTGCTCTCATTTTGTACTTTTTTTTATACGCGTAACACATTTATAGTTTTTTTTTGTTGTACTAACACCACGACCTAAACATATAAATGGAAAGAGCCAAAGTTATGCAAATTCAACATAAAATCATATTTTTTTAAATTTTTTAATGGTTAAATTCTAAAACTTCTAATTTAGTAAGGTTATGATATAATTCACAAAAAAATATAGAGTTTAATATTCTCAATGATGATGTAAATGTAGAGCTCGTGTTACACGCAGATGATTACAAAGTAACCGGTTAAAGAAATAACTCGAGAGATACTTGTTAATATGGAGAACTAAAAATTCACCACCACCAAACAACTCAAATAGAAAACAAGTTGAAAAAAAAAAATCAAGGGAATTTCAAAACGGACTTCAAGTGCAAAACCCAATATACAGTTATTAGAGAGGTCAATTATTTAAGCAATCAAAATTAAAAGAAAAAAAAATTATAGCTCAAGGTCTATGCCCTCGACAAATCAAGCTATCTTTAATTTTATTATTTTTTTTTAATTTTGCTTACAAGCCGTAATAAATTTTGAAAAGTTAGGATTAAACTGAATTAATTTGAGTTATTTCCTTAGCTTGCTTTTTTCGACCGACTCTTCAAGCTATTCTACAAGGGTTTTCTCTTACAAAGGATTACACAATTATTCTCTCATAATCCCCAATCAAGTTAAGGTGACAAGTATAAAATTTTATTTATCACAATACTTTTAGTTTAAATGCAATGCAATGTCATGGCAAAACTATTTCAAATTAATGCATGAATTTATGAGGATCAAACATGATGAAACAATAAAGAGTATTCCAATTTAACACTCAAGCTTCATTTATCACACAAAAAATTTAAGATAATTCAAGTTAAGTTGAAAAAATCTGAGTTATAAGTTCCAGCTATATTTTAAAACCAGATGTTGAAACCTTGAAGCACTTATAAAAGAAAAAGATGGACACACTCTCCAAGTTTTTATTTTTCTCAAGAGAAAAGTTATGCACTTGGAGAATCAAGAGAGAAGAAAGTGCTCAAAGTTTTTAAATGAATGCAATGGGAAGATGGACACACTCTCCAAGTTTTTTCTTTCTCAAGAAAGAAGCTATGCACTTGGAGAATCAAGAGAAAAGAAAGTGCTCAAAGTTTTTAAATGAATGCAATGGTGGATGAAAATTTTGGCTAAATAAGAGGTGGAGTGGAGAATATCAGCTAAGACAAGAAAGAGAGAGATTTGGATTTTGGGGTTGTTAAAATAGTCTCTTGCATGAAGGAAATTATGTGAAAATAGTATAGGAAATAGTTCAAGTTTTGTAGCCAAAAAGTAAATTTAAAATAATTTATCATAACATATATGATATAGTTGGGCCTATTATTTGATATAATTAATTTAAAATTCTAAATTAAACTAATTTGGAGGAATTTAGTTTAATTTTAAATTTTAGTGGGAAATAAAAAAGAAATTAATTTGAACTCTGAGATATATTTAACAAACCACTTAACTTAATTAGAATAAATAACTAAATTTAATTAATTTGATTAAGAAAAGAAAGGATAGCCAATGGGGTTCCAAATTGGATTTAATTGAATGATTAATCAAATAACTTAATATAATTAAATTATGAAAGAGGAGGTACTGGCCAAGGGAATATCCAAGTGTGATTTAATTGAATTGAACAAATCAATTCAATTATATAAATTTAATAGGGGTGGTCAACTACTTTGATTTTAAAAATAATTTTTCATTAATTTAATTCATGAGAAAGACTTTAGTTAACTCAAATCACATTAATTTAATTAAGGTCATAATTTTATTCTTAAGGATTTGAAATTTGAAATTAAAAAAGATATATTTTTGGAAGCTTTCCAATGAAATAAGTTTATCATTATGAGCAAATATTTATTTATCATTTTTAACAAGATTAGTTCATCAATTTACCCATCTCAATTATTTTTTTGGTCAAATGAGCTCACTGAGCTGATTAATTGGGTTAAGTTTAGTATTTATCTTGAAATATATACAATGAGCCCATTCAAAACATACACATATAGGTTGGTTATCATCAACATCTCCAATAGAAGACCAAGCAAACACATCAGAATTAGTACCCAGAATATTGGTTGGTTCACCCTAATGCTCAATATTAGAGAATGTGTTGATTCATACAGTGCAGGTTTCATATTCTTCAAAGAAAGCAACTTCCTTGATTGCCTTAAGGATTTTGAGACCAGCACCATTTGTCTTCAGATAATATGCCCATAATTGTTGTAAACTCTCGCAAATAGTGATTGTGTCCTCATGCAGACAACATCATGGCTAAATGATAGGTTGACATTGCTGCTTCGAAGTGTCGAAGAGTGTAAAACCAATTAACGCATTGTATATCATTGAGGTGTCGATGATGAAGTCGGTAACAGCAAGGATGTCAATGGATGTCAGAGAACTGAAAAAGTCAGATGATAATTTACAGCAAAATAAAAGCTAGCCAAGCAAACAAGTCATTCTAACATAAACAATGTATGATAAGTTGATTTCAGTAGTGTAACAGAGTAATATGCAAGGTTTCAGAAAGCATACCAAGAACAATCATCTCTTCAACACATTTTTGGATGTAGAGAGGAGAGAATTCGCCGTCTAACATTCTGTTGCGTGGGAACGAACACTGAAGCATTGACCCTCGAGGTGAGATTTACAAGAGCACATGCTCCGGAAGGTAGATAGAGGCACGTCTTGGATCTCTCTTGATTTTCTGTCCATTAACTTTATTGTCCTCCATGCAATTTTGAATAAACTAGCTGTTGCATATATATTTGCAGAATGAAGTTTATTGATTTCGAAAAATATAAGGTAAGATGATCACCAGCAGCAACTTTTCCTAGAGACATTTTTCATGTATCCTAAAAAAGCATAACAACAACAAAACCTTTATCCCACTAAGTGGGGTCGACTGCATGAATCCTTTTTCTCAATTGCGTCCTATTTAGTGTCATATTTTAACTTAATTCTAATAAATTAAGATCATTTTTTATACAATATGCCTTAGTCATTCAAGGTCTAACTCTGTCTTTCTTAACAGAAGTCGAATCTAAAACATCTACTCTTCTAATCAGATCATCAGTTGGTTGACGTTTAATGTTACCAAACCATCTAAGACGATTGTATCCTAAAAAGCATAGCACCCCACAAAAAACGAAAAAAGTTTCAAGCAATCGCTGTCAAAATAGTTACATAACACTTGATGAGACGTAATGTTGGCACGTTCGTTGTGACTATTGAATTCATTGGAAGCAAGTTCTCTGGCGAATTCATTCTACGCGGACAGACGATAATTGGAAACTTGATGATTTCATTAGCAAGTAGGCCTTTTCTTCTGGTGAATTTAGCTACAGAGCTAGCATTGAGGCAAGTGGTTCAAAGGCTTAGCAATTTGATGAACCTAGTTCATTAGAGTAATATGACTTTAAATAACACTATCCAAGCAATATTAGGAGTATACATAAACTAAAAAAAGCTTGCATAATATTTTTAATGCTTGCATTAGAGCAAAAAAGGTATTACCACAATGTCATAATGTAAGTTAAATGATAAAAATTGATGCAAGTAGAATGGTGAATGAATGAATCAGCTGTTTGTTCAATTTCATTCATTTGTTCTTTTTTAAGGAACAAGTCCAGTATGAATATGACCCATCTCATTCAAACTAATCTATTAAAGTGTCATTTGGCATCACTATATTTTTTAAACTTAATTGTTTTTATTTTTAATGTATTCTTTCTCTTATTTTTTGTTTTTTAACATGAAATTAAAATATATTTGCCATTATCATGCATTTATTATTTTGTTTATGTTCCAACATGACAATCCCAGGTATAAGTACACATAACTAAGGTAGAAAATTAAGCTTTTGACCTAACCAAATGGTAAAGAAAGAAAATGATCTACAGTGTCTTTTAGCCACAACAAACTCCTCAAGACACTTTGCTTCACAAAAAAGAAAAAAATCATAGCAAAAGGGGGGAGAAAGGTGAAAAAAATGAAGGAAAATAAAAGTAATAAGAGAAAGAAAGGAAAGAAGACCGACAGACAGAGATAAGCACGACCTCAATGCTCATCCATCTAGCTCTAGTTTACAAGAGCCTGCTCATCATATTGGTGTTGATAGTCAGTTGTTTGTGGTGGTCAAAGGCTTGACAGAGGCAGGACATTGATGGTGGTTAAAGTTTTGTGCTGGCCAAGGAACTGGTGGCAGTTGCCGTGTGATGGAAGAGGCTTCAAGTGGCAAGAGGAAGCAAGTTGGGGTGGGTATCAGCTGAGAAAAAGAGTAAGAACGTTGGTGATGAGATGTAGGAGTGGCGATGAGTCAATCGAAAGATGGTCGGGTTTAGTTTGAAAACGAAAAGTAATTTAATTTTTTTTAATTTTCTAAATTTATCTTAGTGTTTATTAAAGCAAATATATTTTTTTAACATAAGGAATTATATTTTTAAAAACTTAGAAATAGAAAATATATATATAAAACATGCACTAATGTGTTATCAAGTTCAAGCCATAAAATAATACAACAACAACAACAACAAACATTTATCCCATTAAGTGGGGTTGGCTACATTGATCCTTTTTCTCCATTGCGTCCTATTGAGTGTCATATTTTTATTTAGTTCTAATAAATTAAAATCATTTTTTATACAATATGCCAAAGTCTTTCTAGCTCTACTTCTATTTTTCTTAGCATACGAGTCTAAAACATCTATTCTCCTAACCGAATTGTCAGATGGTCCACATTTAATGTGACCAAATCATCTAAGACGACTCTCTCTAATTTTATCTGTCACTGGAGCTACACCTACAGATATATTCATTTCACTTTTTTTCTCAAGTGTCAAGCCACTCATCCACCTAAGCATATAATAATTATATATATTATATTAATAATTTAAAAATATATTTTGTTAACAAGCATAATCAAAATTTTAAATTGGGAGATTTACATACATATCACCCCAAACTATATATTTTACTCACTTAACACCACAAGTTTTAATATAACAAAACAATCACCCTAAACTTCTCCATTCAGCAAATATACCACTCTGTAACTCTCACGCTCTCTTGGCCGTCTACACCATGTCACCCACACTTCTCCTGTTTCTGCTGACATAGACCCCTTCTCCCACATTTCACCGTTTCTTCCCTTCCCGCCTTTTTCCTACCGAATCCGTAGAGATCTCGCCTTGCTTTCTCCTTCGCAGCTCAGCCTCTTTCGCTCAAAGAACAATCTTCTTCGTTGTTCTTCATTGCAACTACTTGGGCAACATTGTCTTTACTTGGAAGCTTATTACTTCCCCTCTGGATGGCACACTTGGTGTCCCTTCTTTGTCTGGGTCTTTTGGTCAGTGTGAAACCGGGTAGAGCGTTTGGCTTCCTTCGACTATTAAAATCTGTAACTTTCATTTACCTGTTTCTCTTTTCCTTTGGATTCCACTATAGCTCTTTTCCTATTGGGCAGTAAGCATGTAAATCTTCCTTTCTATAATTAATTTTGAGATTGGGTTTCCAAAAAAAAAAGTTGAAGTTAGATGACAGACATACATTAAGGCGGGGCTGAAATCTGCTAGAGAAGCAGCATAAGACCAAAGCCGTCGTATTTTCTTTTTTCAGCCAAGCGCTGATAACTTCTCTTGGATGCTAGAGATTGGGAGGCTAACTCTTCTCCACGGACTGGATGGGTTTTAAGTTAAGAGTGAGACTTGTTATCGAATTGCGGAGTTGGAGCATATTAATGATTTTTGCCATTAAAAATCAGACTCTTTTTTAAATGTGAAGAATGCTGAGGAGGGTTGGTGTGCCGAATTATGTGATAAGAGGAATCTCGTGGATTTTTTCTTGTAATAAGGTAATTTTAGTGTCTATCTCAAAGGTATCATTAATTCTCTGAGAAAGATCAGAACCGAACAACATAAATTTTAATGTTTTTTATTGTTGCAAGTCTTGCTATTTCATTAGCCAGAAGAAGAGATTCGATGTTTGGAGAGCAAATACCAGGGTAAATAGATTTCAAATGACTGCAACAGTTACTAATGCCTTGTATCCAGTTCAAAACTTTCCATCCAATGCTATCTACCTCCAATATATTGAGCATGGAAACAGGAAAATTACAAACAGCAGTAATCTGATGCATGAAAACAAGTCATCAAAATTTCCAATTTCCCAAATGCATGGCTGTTGATGAGCTGTAAACAATCATCCACCTCCAAGCCCTCAAATTTCAGTGTTCGTTTATTTTTAATCACCTTTGTAATCATCAATGCAACAGAGTCTATCTGAGTAGTTACAAAAATCATACTATCCAAACTTCCATTAGCTAGAGAGGTGCAACCTACTCTTAAATGTCATCCGGAACAAGTAAGAACTTATTGAGCATCACTTCAAACTTCAGATTCACATTAAGTGCATCAAATGATTCCAAATCAAGCTTCCCCTTTTTGAGAGAATTCAACATGTTTGCAATTACTTTCTTCACATTTAAGTTGTTTGAAATGCTATTTTTTCAATTTTTTATTTTATTTTTAACGTTTTTAGATCAACAAATACATTTTTAGGAATTGTAAAAGCTAACTTTTTATCCCCCACCAGATTGAAGCGTTATTGTGCAAACATAGATTATACTAATTCATGTAATAAATCATGCATCGTGTACCCGAAAAGGTAATTTGACTCAAACAAAGATTTCTTTACCAAAATATCAAAATAACTTCCTCCAATATTTTCCATAGTTTCACCTGGTAGGAATGTGACTGAATAAAACCCAATGCAGTCCACATTTGGACTAATCTTAATTATTAAAGTTAGGATCCCGAGGGAATACACTACAAAATGTGAAACAATTTTTACTAGCCATTAAGAATGATGTCTTTGTTATCAGTACAATTCTAGTCCAGGAGAACTCATGTGGCTTATAGTTATTAACACTAAAGGCGCCATAAATTCTTTGTGATATCAAATATATATATTTCACTGAATTTAAATCCAATTCAGCTGAAAGAAAAAATCTGTCAAACAAATATCCTCTTTTTTTTTTAAGCAATTGAAGCTAGCATTAATTTTGCTCATTACTATAACAAGTATTAAAGAGCCCTCTATTACAATAATAAGAAATGACAACAGAATAAAATAGCAGATTAGTGAATGAATGAATGATACCTTAATCACCTATATTAAGAAATGAATATTAGATAGCATCGACAATGATATAATCATTCAATACTTTTAGAATGTAAAAAACAGATATTATATACTATAAATTTTTAAAAAACTTAATATTTAATGATTTTATATATATTAATAAATTTACATTTTTTTAATCACTAATGCCAATCCCAAGCATGGATGAGAAGAGTCTAGTTTTTTAAGAGGTTTAGCTAAGCTCTTACAAAATTTCTAGCCCCGCAACTACCAACATAAATAACATACGATAAGTCGAGGTTCACGACAGATAAAAACACGGTCAAATATCAATTAAATAAATCATTCTTACAAAAATAATCATAGCAATTTTCACAAGTATAATAGTTCAATATGCACATGTCAGGGAACAAGGTTGAAGAAAAGCATACCACCAATAGTTATTTCTTCAACCAATTGTTGCATGTAGAGAAAAGAGAATCTACACTGTAACATTTTGAGACCAGGCAACAAGAAGGGAAACATTGAATCCATGGTTTTTTTGAATCATACCCTCAAGGGTGAAGTTTTACAACAGCGCATTCCCAACAAGGTAAATAGAGCTGCATCCTCTGTCTTTTTGAATCGATTTTTGTTCCATTAAGTTCCTTGTCTTCCATGCATTCTCCCACAAACTAGCTGCTGCATATATATTAGCAAGGACAACATAGTTTACTGATTTCTGAGGATAAAAGGCTAGAAGATTACCAGCAGCAACTTCTCCAATAGACTTATTGTCATGTATCCTACAAGCCCCAAGCATAGCACTCCAAATTGATATGTTGGGTTTAAAATTCATTGTCTTTACAAAATTATAAGCTTCATTAATAAGACCTTCACGTCCAAGAAGATCAACAACACAAGAGTAATGTTCGGATCTAGGTTGGATGGCATATTTGTTGACCATCAAATCAAAAAAATTCATTCCTTTTCTTGCGAGACCAGTATGACTACATGCAGAGATAAGGGAAAGAAATGTAACATCATTTGGTTTCACCCCATTATCCTCCATCTTATTAAAGAGCATCACTGCATCTTCACCCTGGCCATGTTTACCATAACCAGTAATCAAAGAAGTCCATGAAATCACATTTTTATTTTTTATCTCATCAAAAGCAAGATGGGCATCTTGGAGCTCTCCAGATTTGGCATACATATCAACAAGGGCATTGTGCAAAGCCAAATCATGGTTAGATTGATTTTTCACTGTACAAGCATGAATCTGCCTTCCGAGGTCCAGCGAAGCTTCATTGGCACTAACATTAAGCATGGAGCATAGGATAACATCATCAATTTTCATGCCTGTTTGGTTGAATTTGCAGTAAAGCTTCAGTGCATCCCTGCTAAAACTTCCATCTGTTGAATATCCAGTGATCAAGGCAGTGCAGGAAAAAAGGTCCTGCTCAGGCAAAGAGTCATAAAGCAACCTGGCACTACACATTCTCTTGCATTTGACATACGCATCAATAAGTGATCCAGAGACGGCATAATGACTTGAACACCCTGATTTGATAACCAAGGAATGCATCTTATCAGCATTTAAGAAATCCTTTCTTAAACCACATGCCTTCAGGATGCTTGCAAATGTGAAATGGTCTGGAAACTTACCTGCATAAATCATTCATTAATTTTCAAAAATAACAGCATAAAGCAAAGTAAAGTGGACACAGTATTATTTTAGGGCTCATTTGGTGCATAAAGTTGGAAAAAATATGTTGAAAAATTGATTACTTTTGAGAGCCAGTCATTTGGTTGGATGTTGGGGTTAGAAATAACATGAATTTTCAACTCTTCAAAAATCTTTAAAATCCGTCAAAATTGAGGATTTTAATTTCACAATGAAAATAAATGAAAACAAAATTCTCATTTTCTAAAACTTAATTTTCATCTGCAAGCAATCAAATGAGCCTTGGAAATAGCTCCCATATCCCATATCATTTCATAACACTCAAGCTCCTTTGTTGTTCATGCATAATTATTCATGTCAATTCTCTTACTTTGATCACTTGAACTGCAACCCAAAAATCCTATTCATTAATGTTTCAGTATACTTATTTCTAGGATTGCGTTTTAGACTGAGTAACAAGTTTCCTGCTGAGTTCATAATTTACAATAAAACTGTGGGTCAAAAAGAAGAAAAATACTTTGAAATCTCATACATGTCTACTGATGTTGAAGTAGCAATCATGTTAACTTACTAATAAAATAACAAAATGATATGCTACTAACAAAAAAATATAACAGGTAAGCTCCAAACATAATCAACAAAGAACAATTACACGGCAAGACAACCATATGATGACATCATGAAAGACACTAAAAATGTACATTTCAACCTCTCTAAAATTATAATTCCAAATGGTTACCTTCTTCCAACATTGAGATAAACAATTTGAACGAATCATCGGCCAAACCACGAACTAAATGCCCCCCAATCATGGAATTCCACAGCACAACATCTCTATCCTCCATTCCCCAAAACAAACTCCAAGCATCCTCAAGCATTCCACATTTCAAGTGAAAATCCACAAGAGCACCATTCACATACAAATTCTGCCTAAATCTGCTCTTCTCAACGCAACCTTGAATCTGCAATCCGCTTCTAATGCAACGGGTAGCAGTGCATGCCCTGATAACACTTGAATAAGTAAACTGGTTGGCCTTGTTACACCACCTATGCATCAAAACAAATATGTCAAGGGCCTCATACAAGAACCCATTTTGCGAGTATCCCGAGATTAATGCAGTCCAAGAGACCACATCTGGTTCTGGCATTCCATCAAATACGTTTCGAGCCAAAACCAATTCTCCAGCATTAGCGAAAAAGATGATAAATTTGGTGTTCAGGTGAAGGTTTGGAAGATATCCACGAGCAAAAAGATGGTCATAGAGGAATTTTCCTTCTTTTTTGGCGTTGGTGTCGACACAAACCTGCAAAAGATTCGAGTAAATGGAAGAAGCCAGTGGGTTCCGGTACGAGTGTAAGGTTTCAAGCGCTTCTCTGAGCTGGCCGAGGTTGCACAGAGCGAGGACTTTGGATTCGGTTTCATGTCTCAAATTGGGCCAAGAGCCAATTGATCTTCTCCCGACCAAGTTCATGGAAACATGATGCAACGAACAAACTCAGCAGCGCGGAATGAGTTCAGAAGGATTTAAAGAGAGGGAATTTGACGTCATTGACGGACTAAAGATGTCTCCTTTTTGAGCGAACTAAAGAAAGAGCTTTAGCAGCGCGGGGAAAGAGCATAAGAAGAATTCTGGACAATCGAACACTCGAGCTGGAGCAGCAGTCAGCTTACGAAGGCGGGTACAATTTATTGCATAAGCGGAGATCCAAATGGTACCGCAGCACTTTTAAAAAGGCTCCCAAGCTGCCTCAAACATGTCCTAAGAGAGACTCTATCTAAGATAATACATATCAAAATGGAGGTCCTCCACTAAATATTATCTTTATATAAAATTATGAGAATGATAAACAATTATTTTGCAAATGAAATATTAAGTATTAAGAATGTAAATAAAAATAAAGCATGGATGTTAAATATGAAAATATAAATAACATACATGTAAAATCTTTTAATTCATAAATTTTATTGATAAACCAATATTGGAAACTAAATTTAAGATAAAAGCCAAATGAAAAACATCAACATAGGTTATAAAACCAAAGGATCTAACAAAACTTAGAACATCGTGATTCTTATGTTGATCGAGAAACTAGGAAGTTTAACCAAATAAAAATAATAAAATATCAAACCTTAAGAAAATAAACACCTAAAATTCCCCAACTTAAATAATTAAATTCACACTTAAGTTGATCAATTGTAAACCCTAGGTAAACCAGCTTAAAAAAAAAAAAAACCCATGTCCATCACACCCATAGAATAGCCTAAATATAGAATTCTAAGTTAGAATACTAGGTACCCTTAGTTCGTGCTAGAACTAGGACATATAAAGCCCTAAGTCTATAATCCCTTTGATTATGTAGGTGCCCTAAGATGAAGTAACATACAATTATTGACAAATACACCTCCAACCATCTAATAGTTAAGAAGGAATACAATCATCATTGCTTTCAATAGTGGAGACCTCTAACTATTTGGCTAGTTAATAGTCTATGGCTACCGATGAGCTCGAGGTAACATAAAATCGTGGGTATCTTGACCGGAGACGTCATGCCCAAATTTAGATTGGCCCGCCTATTTAGTCTCTTTGTAGAGTCTAGACTTACATTGGGATAAGACTTTCAAATTCTATCTAGAAATCAATGCAATCTTTTCAACTCAAACTTTTAAATCAAACGTTTCAAATCAGCATGTCAACTCAAACTTTTAAAATCAAAACTTTCAACTTAAGCCTTTCAACTTAAAATTTTCAAATCAAATCGTTCAATTCAAACCTTTCAAATCAATTTTTTCAACTTAAACCTTTCAAATTAAACCTTGCAAGTTAGACTTTTCAAACCTAACCTATTATGTACAAATCTAACAAATACAATCCATTCCAAATTCCTTTTTAACTTCATTCTAATTATATCATACACAACTCCTTAAAAGATTTCCCAATTTCAATCCCAAGAGTTTGCCTTTTTTCCATAGTTGGTTAATCCTTTTTCCAAGCCTTTCCAACTCATGTCATCACTGGACTGTAATTCAAACTCCTGAATTCCATAAATATGTCCTTCAAATATTGAATCTATCTATTTAAACTTCTTAAAATACCAATATTAAAACATCAATCTTGAAATATCAAGATTGTAATATTAAATAATACATTCCAATACTTTTAATCAAGAGTTTTTTCAAGAGTTCACGGCTCTTGGGATATAATTAACTATGGGGGCTTACCCTTGTAGGAATACGAAATCCCAAAATAAAATAAAAACTATCTTATAGTCATGAGATAAAAAAATCTAATTAATGTAGGCTCATATATTTTAAAGATTTTTATCATCTCAATAATTAGATCCAAAATAATATTTTAACCCCCTAGAGTGGTATATTATTCTCCAAATGACATATTCAATTATTTAGACATAAATCTTTCAAGTTATGTAGTTTTATTGATGAAACAAAAGAAAAAAAATGTCAACACTTAGTTGTTTCTTGAATCCTCCATCTTCATTATAGCCTTGGAGCAACTCTAATATATGTTTCTAATATTAAGTTATATTATGTAGAAGGAGTATTACAAAGACTCCTCTCTCACAAAACTAAGAAAAGTGCTAAACCAAACATAATAAGACTTTTTTAATGGAGATAGTGGAGACCTAACCTCCATCAAAATTAGAAAAGCTCATCCTTAAATCCTATAGTCATAACTTATCCAACCAACAATGTCGCCATTTTGAATTAACAATTTTGTTTTTGTTCCATTCTCATTTTATTTTTAATAAAATCGCCAGTTTATACATCATCATATACATTCTATTCTAAATAATTCTCTCTTCTGGATCATGCGAATGATCAAAAGAAGAGAAGAACCGAAAAATTAGTGCATACGAAAAAGGTGGACAAACAAGAGAAAGAACGTGAAGAACTTCTGTGCGACATTCTTCACAAGGATATGTCAAACATATATGCTCAAACAAGATCAGATTGAAATATCTTGTTCCAAATAACCGTGAATAAATGACTACAACAGATACCCACGACTAGAGATTCAGGTATGTTTTTCTGGTATGGGGTCCAGGGTGCTCCCAAGGGGATGTGTCCGAGAATACTCTTGATCCAGAGAGTTTTGCTTACATTTAAATTGAAAACTAGCACAGAGCTATCAAAGGACAATTATTTCGCAAGGGGATACTCCGATGCTTTCAAAGCTCTAGATAACATATTGACTAGATCAAGAAGGAATGTCGATAATCTAACATCACTTCTAAGTGCTAGTACGCATTGATCAGTTAGGAAGGCAAGCTAAGGTCACTTAAGTCCAACATATAAACTGATCGAGATGAGTAACCTCAATGCCCACACTACGACTTTGGTGAACAACACAAGTTTTCCATCATTATCCGAGGGTAGGTAGGTTGGCTAGGGAGTCGAGTCATAAAGCTGAGGATGTCACAATATAAGATGTCCTCATGAACAAAATGACTGAGATGGTTTGAGCAAGATCAAAGTCTCATGGCTAAGGAGCCAATGTCTAGTGATGTCAACCAAAAAGAATGCTCATGGAACTTATATCCAATCTGAAGGATGGGTTCATAAGCCGAAGAGGCTTGACCCAAAAGTGAGTTTAGAGGCTATAGAGGCGTGACTTAAAATATGGATTCAGATGCCATAGAGGCGTGACTTGAAATATGGATTCAGAGGCCACAGAGGTGCGACTCTGGGTGGTAAGTTCAGGGGTCATCGGGGCATGACTTGGCCTGAAAACTGATGAAGCCCCAAATACATAATATGGTAAGGAGAAATACCAAAGGATTTACATTCCATCTTAAGGGTATGCATGGTAAAAGGTAGAATTATTTCATGTAATACAAGTTCGTCTATCGCATTCTCATGAAGGAACTGCCTAAAAAGGTCACATGGTTCAAGAACTATGATAAAAGGTGGCTGAAAAGCTGAAGCCATTAAAAGACAAGATCGTTATCCCAAAAGAGCTGAGCAAAGGGCGTGCAACTCAAGAAACATGATAACAAGTGGATAAAAAGCCAGTGTCATCTAGAGACGAGATGCTTTCGGGAAAGAACTGATTGAAGAGTCATGTGGTTTGAGAAGCATCAAAATCAAGAGGCTAAAAAGCAACGAATCACCATAAAATTAGATGTTCTCGTGAAAGAACCAACTAACGAGTCATATGGTTCAGGAGACATCAAATGCTAGATTGGCTAAGGTGGTTTAGCAATGTAAGATGCCATATCAAGAATAGAGCAACGTAATTTTTACTGTATATGACATCATGATATTGTCGGATGTAAGAACACTGTGACTTAACACAGATCGATTAGATAGCTGAGGTGGCTTAAACAATGCGGCGTGTCTAATGACAAAGTGATGAGATCAACCTAGTAAAACATAGTATATGAGGGACTCAAATGAACAAGGCAACCCATCCTCACAAATCTTTTGCAAGCTTTTAACAAAGCGACCCTCTCTGAGGATTTTTCTTACAGGCATGAGAATACCAAACTTAGGCATGGATTGAACAAGCAAGCAAGTGGGCTCAAATTAGTGCAAAAGAAACTCCAACATAGTGAGCAGAGTCAACTAAGTCAACAAGAATTGTTAAAGAGGCAGGATGATTCAAGTGTTACACCAAAATAATATACTATTTTAAGTACATATTTTATGCTTATTTTTTGTGATATTGCACTTTAAAGAAGGGGATTTTCATGTTTTTTTGCAAGTAAATCATTTTTAGGCATTTGGAGCAAAAATGACAAAAAAGGATGAAATTTGGAGCCAAAACAACCAATTTTGGGATTATGGCGCATCATGCGCCAGATAGGCGCATCATGCACCAGATAGGCGCATCATGTGCCAAAATTTTGTACCAGATTGGCGCATTTTTTACCACACTTTTGGTTGAGGTTTAGTTTTTCCTCTTTAGTAGCCTAGGGTCTTAACATAGGACTTTCATGTTGACTATTCCTAGAAAACTAACATAGGACTTTCATGTTGACTATTCCTAGAAAACTAGAAAAGGAACCCTCACTATTAGAAATTTTAAACTCTTCCTTGCTCAACTTGAAGTTCCACATATTGGTCATAACCTCTAACACTTAGTAGATGGGGTCAATATGGGGGAGCTCAAGATGAGCCCTCATAGGACTATTTGACCTTAGGGTTGACCCTGGGTGTTGGTCTAGAGCTTATTCACTCACTGTCACCTATATCTACTCACAACCCTGAGACCCAAAATTATTGTATTTGATCCTTTGATCTTTCGGGAGACTCATGTAGATGGTCCCCTAAACCAACTTCAAATGGGGATCTCATTGGTCCATAGCTCAAATAGGGTGGTTGGCACCCCAATTATACGAAAGTTTCTAGCTTGACCTTTTTCCCCTAAATTCACCCAAATTACCTAAATGTCATTGAAACCCCAAATTTGGCTAAAATTCCCAATTTCACCCAAAATATCCAAATTTGTTCAAAAATATTTTCAAAACATTTCAAAATACCCAAATTTCCCAAAAACACCCAAAAATTCTGAAATTACCAAAATACCCTCAAATTTGCCAAAATTGCAAAAATACCCTTGGTAGCCCAAACTTTCCTAAAACCCTCAAAATCATTTAAAATGTCCCAAAACCAATTAATTGAACTCAATTTGATCATTTTGACCAAAACCCCCAAATTGTCTTTATCCAATTTTGACCAATTTGACTATTTTGACCAAAACCTCAAATTGCCTT